TATCTATCCTTACTTACCTACTTACTTCCTTCCTTACCTACCTACTTCCTTCCATACCTACAGTACTTACTTCCTTCCTTACCTACCTACTTCCTTCCTTACCTACCTACTTCCTGACTTACCTACCTACTTCCTTCCTATCTATCCTTATTTACCTACCTACTTCCTTCCTTCCATACCTACAGTACTTACTTCCTTCCTTACCTACCTACTTCCTTCCTTACCTACCTACTTCCTGACTTACCTACCTACTTCCTTCCTATCTATCCTTACTTACCTACCCACTTCCTTGCTTACCTACCTACTTCCTTCCTTACCTACCACCTACTTCCTTCCATACCTACAGTACTTACTTCCTTACTTACCTACCTACTTCCTTCCTATCTATCCTTACTTACCTACCTACTTCCTTCGTTACCTACCTATCTACCCACTTCCTGACTTACCTACCTACTTCCTTCATTACCTATCTACTTCCTTACCTACCTATCTACTCACTTCCTTACTTACCTACCTACTTCCTTCCTATCTATCCTTACTTACCTACCTACTTCCTTACCTACCTATCTACCCACTTCCTTACTTACCTACCTACTTCCTTCCTATCTATCCTTACTTGCCTACCTACTTCCTTCCTTACCTACAGTACTTACTTCCTTCCTTACCTACCTACTTCCTTCCTTACCTACAATACTTCCTTCCTTCCTTACCTACCTACTTCCTTCCTTACCTACGTACTTCCTGACTTACCTAGTCACCCAGTTCATCCAGCTCAAATCTTTTACTTCCCGTCCCTTCCCAGTCACTTCAGGGGTTCCCCAGGGTTCTGTCCTCGGCCCCATCCTGTTCCTAATCTATCTTCTCCCTCTTGGTTACATCTTCAGAAAACACCACATTCACTTTCACTGCTACGCGGATGACACCCAGCTCTACATCTCCAGTAAACCAAATTCCACACTCCCACCGTCCTCTCTCACCAACTGCCTCCATAAAATAAAGTCCTGGTTCACTTCAAACTTTCTCAAACTCAACAGCAATAAAACTGAACTCCTCCTCATTGGCACCAAATCCACCCTAAATAAAATCAGCAATTTCTCCATTCCCATTGACGGCTCCTCCATTTCCCCCTCCCCTCAAGTAAAGAGTCTGGGTGTCACCCTCGATAGCACCCTCTCCTTCACCGCACACATCAATAGCATCACCCGAATCGCCTACTTCCACCTCAGAAATATCCGCCGGCTCCGCCCTTCTCTTTCCCCTCACACCACTGCCATACTTGTACACAGCCTCGTCACCTCTCGTCTCGACTACTGTAATTCCCTGCTGTTTGGTCTCCCTCAAAAAACTCTACATAAACTCCAACTGGTCCAAAATGCAGCCGCCCGCATCATCACACACACCCCCTCCATAAACCACATCACTCCTGTCCTTCAACAGCTCCACTGGCTCCCCATCACCCACCGCATCCAATACAAAATCCTGCTCCTCACATTCAAAGCAATCCACAAGCTCGCTCCTCCATACCTGACTGACCTTCTCCATGTCTCCACACCTGCCCGCTCTCTCCGCTCCTCCTCCTCTCTCCGGCTCACTGCTCCCCCTCCCGCCCATCTCGTCACCATGGGGAGATAGAGCCTTCAGTCGCTCTGCTCCCCAGCTCTGGAACACTCTCCCTCCTGACCTCCGTAACACCGACTCACTCCCACACTTCAAATCCATCCTCAAAACTCATCTGTTTAGACAAGCCTACTCACTGTGACCACAACTGTATGTTTTATTCATGCTGTTTTAACATTGTATTTTAACTGTTTTTAATTGTTGATGTTAATTTACTTGTTGTTGTGAGGCGACCTTGAGTGTCTTGAAAGGCGCCTAAGAAATAAAATGCATTATTATTATTATTATTACCTACCTACTTCTTTCCTTACCTACAGTACCTACTCCCTTCCTTACCTACCTACTTCCTTCCTTACCTACAGTACTTACTTCCTTCCTTACCTACTTCCTTCCATACCTACAGTACTTACTTCCTTCCTTACCTACCTACTTCCTTCCATACCTACAGTACTTACTTTCTTCCTTACCTACTTCCTTCCATACCTACAGTACTTACTTCCTTCCTTACCTACCTACTTCCTGACTTACCTACCTACTTCCTTCCTATCTATCCTTATTTACCTACCTACTTCCTTCCTTCCATACCTACAGTACTTACTTCCTTCCTTACCTACCTACTTCCTTCCTTCCATACCTACAGTACTTACTTCCTTCCTTACCTACCTACTTCCTGACTTACCTACCTACTTCCTGACTTACCTACCTACTTCTTTCCTATCTATCCTTACTTACCTACCCACTTCCTTGCTTACCTACCTACTTCCTTCCTTACCTACCACCTACTTCCTTCCATACCTACAGTACTTACTTCCTTACTTACCTACCTACTTCCTTCCTTACCTACCTATCTACCCACTTCCTGACTTACCTACCTACTTCCTTCATTACCTACCTACTTCCTTACCTACCTATCTACCCACTTCCTTACTTACCTACCTACTTCCTTCCTATCTATCCTTACTTACCTACCTACTTCCTTACCTACCTATCTACCCACTTCCTTACTTACCTACCTACTTCCTTTCTATCTATCCTTACTTACCTACCTACTTCCTTCCTTACCTACAGTACTTACTTCCTTCCTTACCTACCTACTTCCTTCCTTACCTACGTACTTCCTGACTTACCTACCTACTTCTTTCCTTACCTACAGTACCTACTTCCTTCCTTACCTACCTACTTCCTTCCTTACCTACCTACTTCCTTCCTTACCTACAGTACTTACTTCCTTCCTTACCTACCTACTTCCTTCATTACCTACCTACTTCCTTACCTACCTATCTACCCACTTCCTTACTTACCTACTTCCTTCCTTACCTACCACCTACTTCCTGACTTACCTACCTATGTCCTTACTTACCTACCTACCTACTTCTTTACCTACATACTTACTTATCTACCTTCTTTTCCATGATGGGGAAGATAACACGGTAAAAAATGAGAAAATATGAATGAATGATTGTTTTTACATTAATCTGAGCACATTCTGAATGTCTTAAACAATTTAGACTTTTTCAAGAACTGTTGCTTTATTTTCTCATTCCAAACGAGACATTTCTTGCATATTTAAAAAAAGAAAAAAGATCATTTTGCTCATTGTCCCGTTGGAGAACCTTATTTTAAGGCAGTCAAAATGTGCTCAAATGAAGACACATTTAGCCCAAACCATTCATGAACCCAACAAAAGGAGAGAAAGCCTCAAAAGATAAAAACTCACCCGACGTTCTCAAAGTGCTGTATCAAAGCACAGATTTCTGAAACTAGAACTCCCAGAGCCGTCGTTTTGACTGCTCTCATTCAAACCAATGGAATTATGAGAAATTCCCCCAAAGAATGTTTAGTTTTTCACCAGATTCACAAAAAGAAAGTCATTTTTATGGTTATGTCCTCCTCTCCTCTCCTCCTCCCTTCCTTCCCCCTCCTCTCCTCCTCCTCCCCTCTCCTTCCCCCTCCTCTCCTCCTCCTCCCCTCTCCTTCCCCCTACTCTCCTCTCCTTTCCTTCCTCCTCCTCTCCTTCCCCCTCCTCTCCTCCTCCTCCCCTCTCCTCCTCCTCTCCTTCCCCCTACTCTCCCCTCCCCTCCTCTCCTCTCTTTCCCCCTCCTCTCCTCTCCTCTCCTCTCCTCTCCTTTCCTTCCCCTCCCCCTCCTCTCCTCTCCTCTCCTCTCCTCTCTCTCTCCTCTCCTCCTCCTCTCCTCTCCTTTCCTTCCCCCTCCTCTCCTCCTCCTTCTCTCCTCTCCTCTGGTCCTCTCCTCTCCTTTCCTTCCCCCTACTCTCCTCCTCTCCTCTCCTCTCCCCTCCTCCTCCTCCTCTCCTTTCCTTCCCTCCTCCTCCTCCTCCTCCTCCTCTCCTCTCCTCTCCTCCTCCTCTCCTCTCCTTTCCTTCCCCCTCCTCTCCTCCTCCTCCTCTCCTCTCCTCCTCCTCTCCTCTCCTTTCCTTCCCCCTCCTCTCCTCCCCACTCTTCCCCTCTCCTCTCCTCCTCCTGTGTGGTTGGCAGGGACACAATGATGATTGAGGCGGTGTTAAGAGTCCTTTGGCTCAGTCCCCACAGCTCATGTCTCTCTGTAGCTCCTGTAGCTGTAGCTCCTGTAGCTGTGGCTTCTGTAGCTGTGGCTCCTGTGTCTGCTGTAGCTGTAGCTCCTAGTAGCTGCCGTAGTGTGGTTGGCCCCACCTCATTCTAATTTTACTTTACTCTTTGGCCCTTGTTTAATTTTCTATGGAATACACTTGAGAATGACTTGCATTGTTAATAAAGGCTGCCTGGTTTCATTTTTGTATTAGCAGGTGGGGTGCCATGTTGGTGGGCTGCCATGTTGGTGGGCTGCCATGTTGGTGTCGTTTTCAATGAGAAAGTTGTGTCACGGCTCAAACAGATGGGGGAACACTGATGTACAGCATTAGGACGTAGACTCAGGTCCACAGCCCTCAGATGCAGACCTGAGTCTCAGCTCCAGGACGCGGGACTTGCCCGAGTCCAGATGGAGCTGAACCTCATTTGAGTCTGTGCAGTCTCAGTGCTGCAGTAGAACCTAAAGCCAGATTGGTATCTCTCTGGTATCACCTCCTCAATGGTTCTCTTGTTCTCACCTGGGGCTGATAGACCCTCCCTGCCTCTGTCTGGCCCTCCCCTCGGTCTAAACACTTGGACCATATGCTTTGAAATTCCCTGTGTACACATTTGGTTTTACAAATGAACTTGCATTAGCTTGCCTTAAAATGTGGCTAATTCAAATGAACACTAAACCACAATAAATGAATTCTCTGCCGTATGTCTACACAGTTACACACCCAGTCCTCGGCACAAACGGTGCTACACACAAATACAAAACATATTTCCTGTTGAACTTCCGTATGAATTCAGTGAAGTAAGAAAAAGAAGAGTCCGT